AAAAAAATCTGCTCCATCCAAACGATCCGCCGGAAACAGAGCTTTCTTACGACATAAAGTATGTCACTAGGGGGTACGTCAGTCACACAAAACAATTCCCAAGGTGATTTCAGGAGATGGCAAAATTTAACCGGACGGACTCTACGTAGGACGCAGCTGGGACAACTTCAAGGGTATGTGCTGAGAGGCTTTGGATGATAGTGCGGAGTCCCCGTGTTCTCTCGAGAATTGGAGCCTCTCCTCCTTCTCCCTCTCTCCTCTCTCATGCGAGCTAATACACACAGTTAAACAGCAGTCCCAAGTCCGCCGGCCCTTAACAGGGCTAAGGCTCACGAACACGCTAGCGTTCGTCCTCCCGGGGGGATCCGCAAGACGGTGCGGGCTATGCCAAGCGAGAGGCAGCGGGGTTCCAGCAACTAGGGTACGCAACTCTGAACTGGACGCTTTCTGACTGGAACGGAGCAGTACCTGAACGAGTAGAGATGACAGAGGTGCAGGAGATGATGGGCATGCTACCATCGCTACTGCAGGCCGAGTCGGAAAGGCAAGGCCAGGAGGGGTCGGCGGCGCTGCAAGAGGGCGCCGTGGGTGCGGCGGAATTGGGGGTTCCGCCGAGCAGCCACCGAAAGCTGTGTCCTGCGGTGGTCGTCAGGGAGGGCGACACTGCTGGAGGAGAGAGCAGCAGTACGCCGGGCGTGGAAGGCGCCCTGGTGCGGGATGTGGAGCTTCCTGCTGCAGGTGGGTTTGGTGCATTCCAAGACACCAACTCTCTTCGTAGTACGTTCGGCAGTGCTTGCGTACAGCAGTCTGCTGCCGCTGGAGACACTGGTGAGAGTGTCACAGCAACCGATCAATCCATTCAGGGGAGGTCGGGTGGAGAATGCGGCACGGCGGAAGGGTCGTGTCCACTGTTCTGCCTTGCTGTAGTAGCGGGCGGGGCGCACAGAAGTCGCCGGAATTGATGGTGCAACAGAACGGACGGAGGGGCCGTGAAGTCGCGCAGTTTTGGCGCGCACTCCATCTGCGGTAAGGCGGTGGATCAACATGAAAGGCGTTAGAGTAATCGGCGCAACAGACAGGACGGAGGGGCCGTGAAGTCGCGCAGTTTTGGCGCGCATTCCATCTGCGGTAAGGCGGTGGAGCACCAGGACGGTAGAGAGACCGTTGGGCAGGATTGCCGGAGACACTCAACCATGGATCGACCGCGCGACGGCGCGGGGGGGGGTGGGCGCCGTACATGCTTGATGCTGGCGGTGTTTTGTTAAGTCGATCCAAGGCCGGCAGTAGAGGCCGGGTACGCCCTACCACGGTTGACACGCGCGACGGCGCGTCGGGGGGTGGGCGCCGATCACGCGGGAGCGGGCGGCGTTTTTTGACCACAGCACGGACGGAGGGGCCGTGTCTGCTTTGCCTCGTCGTCGGAACGGGGGGGGCAGCATTGTAAGTCGCGCGGAGGTGGCGCGCAACTATCAGCCGGAGGTGGGTGGTGGAACGGGGCACAGCTAAGTGGGTGTCATCAAAGTCGCGTGGGGAGGTGCCGCGCGCATTTCATCAGCCGGGAACGAGCGGTGGAGACAAGAATGCGTCAGGATGGACGTGAGGAATTAAAGGCGTGCTTCGCCATCAAGATGTGTTGGTGGAGTAGTTGGAATAAGCTTGGATTTAGTTGTCTTGCTTTGTGTGGAGGTACCAGTTTGAGGTCGTGATAAAATCAAGCAACTTGTATTCGAAGAAATTCTGTTCACTGTTGCGTGTTTCTTTCCGCCGTCATTTGCGCGTTGTCTTGCACCCAAATCGTGGTTGTTCTGAATGTTTGTGTTCGTCGTTATGCCATTAGTGCATCCTTCGCCGGTGACGTTGTGTTGCTGGTGATGATGGCAAAGTGTCGGGGGGTAGAGACGTTCACGTTGGTAGAATTTGCCACCATCACTCATGTGTGGGGGCTACGCGGTTATATGTGACCCACGGCCTAAGTAGGAGGCGCAACAAGTGTTTTGTTTACCTGAGTTGTTGCAGAACAAGGGAGGGTGGAAACGGGCGTGTTTCTTTTGAGAATGTTACGCTTGAAGAGTACGCCCGGTCTTGGTATTATGCAACTTGACAGGTTGGTGTGTCGGGCAGGTATGCAGTTGTTAGTGGAAGTCGATTTTGTTTTCACGTACGGAAGCATGTTGGTTGTGTCTGTTTTGGGAAGCGACATCTAGGTGATGGCCATGTGCGTGTTCCTCTGGGCGCCGGTGTTGCGCAAGGGAGGGCACTAGGCTTAGGTTCCTGGTGTGCTTGTCTATAATGCAGACAGCGTAGATGCTTGGGGTTCGTAGTACAGCGTTACCAAGTTGTGGGGGGACGTTTGTGTTTTGCGTAGTTGCGCTTGAAGGTTCAGTAGCAAGTTGATGTATCCTTGATTGAAGGAGAGCTGAGGATTGGTTTGGTAGTTTGCAGATGGTGGACCTTGTTTGAAGCAGGCTTCATTCGGCAGGTTGTATATTTCTCAAAAGCGGGCATCCTTTGGAGAATCGAGTTTGATTGGTTTTTCAGTTGGAAATAGGTCATGATTTTGAGTTCGTGTAGGATTGCAGATGGTTGAACCGAAGGCAGGGAGAACGTACCTGTTCGATGCAGTTTTCGTGTGGAATGCAGATAGACAGGGAGGGCGTTGCCTGTATGTGTGTGACACCTGAAGAATCAGTTGGTGCTGCACAGCAAGGAGTTCGTTCCATCATGTCGGAAGGATTTGTCAGAGGCGTTGCTCGAGGTAGTAGAGCGTTGCCTAGAATTTGTAATCCGAGCGTCTGGAGTGGTTTTATCTTTGTCTTCTTGCAGTACGGCAGTTGGAATCATTGGTGATATGGACGGCTATTGGATTTTGTTTGAGCCGTTGGAATCTTTCGTGATATGATCGGCGTGAGGCGTTGAATTTCTGAGGGGTTTTGATCCGGTGGCCGGGTTTCCCCTTTACTTTTGGTTTGTCGTTGTGTTTCGGTTTTTCGGACGTATTTTCGACGCACTAGAGGTTCTTCACTGGCGTAAAGAACCAGGGAGGGTGTTCGTGCGTAGAAGTAGATAGTCGAGAAGTAGCCGTTACGCAGGACGCAGCTGGGACAACTTGAAGGGTATGTGCTGAGAGGCTTTGGATGATAGTGCGGAGTCCCCGTGTTCTCTCGAGAATTGGGGCCTCTCCTCCTTCTCCCTCTCTCCTCTCTCATGCGAGCTAATACACACAGTTAAACAGCAGCCCCAAGTCCGCCGGCCCTTAACAGGGCTAGGGCTCACGAACA